GTAGAATGAGTTTGGGAGCAACTAATAAATAAGATCTGCATAGAGAACCATAGAGAAAGAGCTTTATAAGAAATTCTGCCTTGGGAAGGGTGTAGTTTAAACTTAGTTTTGAGGGGAAGTAGAGAGACTCATCCTCTGAAATGGAGAAGATAAAGCAGAAAACAAAATATGCAAAGACAAATCCAGGACAGAGAGCTGGAGGAAGAGCAGGTGAAGATAAAGTCAGATATGAAAGTCAAGGTTGGAATAAAAGGAAGAGAAGCTCTTGAACCTGATTTCAGCAAATCCCACATCTGTAATTGTTACAGACACACAAGTCTAACCTTTAGAGGAGGCAAGTTACTTATCAACTTTGACATGTGCCTACCAGGCTTGCTCAGTAATCAGAAAAGATTTATAATTACTTCACCCAGCCTTTCTGAGGAGCCACAATTTGCAGCCATCTGCACACAATTTCTGACAAACATCTTGTCATTCCATCAATGCTCCATTAAATTAACCTCAGATGGCTGATATTACCACGTTAGAATCTCACTCAATGTAGCTATGAGTTAATAAATTGATGTTCTCTCTTTTAAATTATGTTAGCACTAGTAGGGAACTTCAAGTTCTTCTATTTCAACACCTTGTTCTTTCATGTATTCATTAATTTAACAAATAATGTGTTGAATAACCGCTTTATGACAGATTAGGTCCCTATTCTCAAGGCTTTACAGTGAAGCGAGGGATATAGACATTGACTAATAAACTAATAAGTTATCTCAAGTGTGGTAAATAATAAAAAGGAAATAAACATGGTAATATGATAGAGTTACTGTGGAGGAGATAAGGGATTATCTATCTTAGATGGAGTGGGGAAATCAATGAAAAAAACTTTGAGTAGATGATACTTGAGCTGAGATTTGGATGAAGACATGAAGTCACATGACAGGAAAGAGAAAATGAAAGACATTATAGGCAAAGAAAACTACATGTGCAAAGGTGGGAACAAAAATAATATATTTAACAAAGCCAAGCAATGAGAGAGAATGAGAATAACAAGAACTAGGAAGGTGGACAGAATGCACTACTGAAGGTAAAGAACTCACCAGGGCCATAGCATTGTAAATGAGTAAGCAAAGACGTAAAATGAATGCTACAGGTAAGTGGCATACACAGCGGACTAGACAGAGAATCCTGGGAGTTGTAACATTTGAGTGATAAGGAGAAGAGTATCCTATGATACAGTCACGGATCTCAAATTCAAATGCCTTCAGGGGTCAGCCAGGTATAAAGCAGTGAGGCAAACCTTGGTAAGAGACAGGAAATGGTGGGAACTATAGTGACCTAGAGAATGAGTGACATGCTCAATAACATTTAGACTCATTAAAAAATAGTTTACAGGCAAAAAAGAAGCACATCATTAAATAATATTTTTTAAGCAAAATAATACTCGATGAAGCAAACAATTCCCATAGACTATCGATGTGCAACAACGAGCTGGAATAAAAGTGGAAAGTAGGATGGGAATGAGAAAAATCAACAGAGCATAGTTTTATGTAAGTCAAAGAAGAGTTATACTTTATATGTCCATGAACTAAACAAAAAAGAATGTTTTCTTAGGCAGCTATCCAAATGCTGGAATACTAACAACAACGACAACAACAAAAAGCACTATTGGTTACAGAACTTGCATAACCTAAATATGGAGGTAATGATCAAATGGGCCAGCTTTATAAAATCATGGAACCATGTGGTCTATCCAAGGACTGAATGTAGAAGTCCTCCTGAAGAATCATGGCCATCTACTCTGTGCTAGCATGGATCCAGGAGGGGGAAGGTACTACCACATCCCCCCAAGTCACTGTAAGTGTTCAGAAGTTTCTATCAATTTGACCTGTTGGAGCTGATATCTGCCTCCTTGGAATCTAAAAGTCCCAAATCTTCCCCCTGGAGCCACATAGACTATTTAATACCTTTCCTACCTGCCAGCCCTTTAGATATTTAGAAACAGTGGCCCTATCACTATCTTCCCTCTACGAGTTTTCCCTTCTCCAGACAAAACATCTCTATCTTCAGCTGTTCCCCAAATCACTATTTCCACCACCCCATCACCTTTCTGTGAACCTTCTCTAGTTTGTCATTATCTTTCTTAAACGGCGCCCGTGGAGAACACAACATTCCAAGCTAATTTACAATCCAGGGCTTCTTTAGACATCATTTTCTATTTCTGCAGCAGTAGGATTACAATTACATTTCACAGAGCTCAGTTTCCTGCTGTCCCTATTCCCTACTACCCACCCTCCAAGGCAGTCTGTTTGCTGTATTTCATGGACAGATGCATAATTTAGAGCGAGTGCTCCGTTTAGTTAAAGGAATGCTGTCCCTCATCACTCCATCATCTCCGATTAAGGTCACTCAGTCTAATGTACATTACATCTTATACAAATAATGCCTGTGCAGTGCTTCATGCTTCTCATGCCACTTTCTAGACAGTATCTTATTAAGTACTCAAACTGGATAAATATTTTTATGTAAAGAAGAAAATGAATCTGAAAATTAGTGGTTTAAAGTGGAGGGAAAATTGGAAATCTGATCCTTGGAAAGTGCTGAATGAGAGCATCCAATAATCTGGTTTCAAACATGGCTTCTCCATTTACCTACCATTGCTAGTTTTTTTAGTATTTTGTTGCGTTTTTTTTTTTTTTTAAGATGAGTAAGAAGAACAGAAGCAGCTACCTATTAATAAAGACTTAGTATGTACCAAGTCCTATAATAAGCTTTTAATATATAGTATGTCATATATGACACATAACAACCTTTAAAGTGTATTATTTCCAATTTAAAGATGAGAGAATTAAAACAGAAGTTAAGTAACTTGCCCAATGTCACACAACCACTAGGTGGTTCTGGGATTTGAACCTAATTCTGTCTTCAAAGTGCATTCGCTTTATAGTCTTATACCACAATCTCCCTCAGTGGACACAATCTATACTACATATGACTTACCAGTTGATTAAAAAAACCTCTCATAGTAATTACTTCTTGTAAGATGCTTCTCCACATATGTAGGAGGTAGGGACATGGGTTGTCTCATCTGTGGGGCCACAGATGCTGTGAGAGCATGCACACAAGAGCAAAGAGTAGGCGAGGAGAGAAAGGTCACATACCTACCTCAGTGTCAGACACTGTATCTCAAATTGGGCTGAAATGTAGCCCTGCAGCTTCTATCACAAGCACACTTGGAATATAAACAAGATTTCAAGGTGACAGTCAGCCGACGAAAACAGTGTTTTCAGGTTTTTAAATACCACTTTAGATGTATTCACTTGTATATAAATCATGTGCTAATTTATTCATTAAAATAGCCTGTACTTGGCAACATTTTATTAACCTTAGTTTATGTTAATGAGATCAGTAATTGTATTTTGAAAAAATGCATCCCTTTATAATTACTCCATAATTCTGACTTTCTTTCAAATGATCTAACCCTTTATCAACCTCAAGCCACATTCCATATCCAATGAAAATAAATTTGAATTACAATATTATAAGATATGACTTCAAGAAAGCCCAAATTCTGGAAAGACTATTTCCCTATCTAGCCATACATCAGAATCTCCTGGGGACTTCCTTAGGCACACATGATTACTGCTTCCTCAGAGCCTCGGCAATCACTAGGGTTGGGACCTCCTAGGAATTGGGATATGCAGCAATTGGTCTACCAACTAGCACTGAGGGACCAATGACTAGAGCATTTCCACCCTACACAGGTCCATTTCAGCTCTCGGAAAACACAGGAAGCACAGATAGTGAGGGACGTCCCAAAAGCATAATAACCAATCACCTCAAAAGAACCAGTGAGTCCCAGAAAAAATTAATTGTAAGTCTCAAAACTAACTGCTGAGCTCTGGTTCTTTATTTTCAGGGCCCAGGTAGCCATTTTAATGTTCAGTTACTGTAAAGAAGCCTTAAAAATATACACACACACACACACACACACAATGTTGCATAGGTTCTAGCTGACCCACGGAAATCAGGTGGAGATTATTAGGTGGAGTTTACCTGGTAGAGCCACATGATAAACAACTAAAATAAAAAGTTACTTTAGAAACCATTCTCAAAGGGTTAGAACAGGAGTGTCAAATGGCACTCTGATAGTTGATACCCGGGGCAGACATTGCTAAGCAATCACAGCACATTTCCTTATTGCATCTAGAAATAGCCTGGAAGCCCTTTTCAACCAAGCACTCCAGGGTGCCCTTGCCATCTTATCCACTAATACACATGGGGATCATATTTACCTTTCATTGGCTAAATAGTTAAATCAAAATCATCTTACGCCAGCCTGATCTATCATAGTCTATGTGCTCCACATAGTACAGACAGACACTTGAAGGTTCTCATGCAGACTACACCCTAGAGGCAGATCACCTGGCTCTTGCCAATTGACCTCTGTAATAGTTTCACATTTATATCTTTGAATGGAAGTAACTAGAAATCAGCTAACTGCTAAAATGCAACTAATACATGGTTAAACTTATATCATTCAAATCAACCTCGTTTTGGCTGATGATAATTCACAGTTTGACTTTGAACAAATGCTAGAGAGACAAGCTGAGTTCCAAGTATTTTAAAAATTAAATGTAGCATTTGATTAAATAATCATATATCAATCCGCTTAATTTCTATTGATTGTCCTATAGATTTTCTCCTATGGAGACTTTGGGTCAGGTCTGTATGCAAACATTTAGTGTCCCGGTAAATCACAGGCACAAATCCCGAGGACAGTCAGTTTCTGCCCAGTTTGATTTGAAAAAGAAAATCATTATAAATTCATTTGTCTTCAGTTCCTGTAATGGCCGTTCTGGGTTACTTCACCTCTACTGCCACTTCCCAAGTCATATTAGGTGGAATCTCTTTTAAGACCATATCTATGTCAATACCTAGTTATTTAGATGGATTTCATTGCATAGACAGCCCCTGTGATCAAACAATAAGATCGGAGAGAGCAGACATACCTCATCATAGATGCTGTCATTCCTGTGAAAGTCTCCAGCCTTCCTGGGAAGAACGTGGATGTGAACGTGCTGAAATGTACAAGAAAGAAAAAAATAAAATGTGATTATCTCCCCATATATTTTTACACTTGACAGTGATGCTCTCATGAAACCCAATTACTCCACATTGGTTTCTGCTGGATTATTTTTCAGAGGAAGATGCCGTTCACCTTCAGTAACGATATCTTAAATCTGTGGAGAATAGAGGCACAAAGCGAGAGAACAAGTTGGTGGCACACATGAGAGTTTGAGTGAAATGCCATTGTTTTAGGGGCTCTGTGGAATTATTCATAGTTGTCAGTCTTGGTTGTATTTAGCCAGTGCTTTGAAATGACAGCACGTCTTAAAAGGTGACCACAGTGTCTCTGAAACTGACAAGAAATAAAAATTGGCTAACAGAGAACTGCATAAGAGCAAATGAGTGAGAGTATGAAGGAGTATGGGCCAAATTACAGAATCGAGGTTTCAAATAATAATCATATAATCATATAAATAATTCTCATTTTTAAACTTTCAATTATTATGATAAGGAAGCTCTGTGCTTGCATTTATCTCATTCAATGCTCTGAATAATCCCATGAGCCAAGTTCTACTACAATCTCCACTTTACTGAGGAGGAACTCTTTGCTCAGAGAAGTGAAGGCACCACAGGAAGTGGTAGTCAGCACAGGAAGCCAGGTGGTCTGGTTCCTGCCCCCACCTTTTTTATTAGCACATATACTGATTCTGTGACGTTAATCTTTTAAACAGCCCATTTCTTTAGTCTATGAAACTACCCAAGTAATATACATAGCAATGCTATTATGCAGCGGTTGTGAATCAAGGCACACAGCATATCTAATTCAATATATTCTTCAAGGCTAAACTACCATTTGAAAGTTTTACTTTCCAAATAGCCTCTATTGTACCCCGGCTGAAGTTAAACTTTATTCCTGCCCTTGAGCTATGTTCCTCCGCTTATTACAAACTATGGGGAGGAATGTGAAAATGAAAAGTCTAAATGTAAAGAGGCAGACAAAGAATCAAACCTCATCCCTGATCACACCCACCCCTTTTTGATTACACGATCAGACTCGAAGCCTCCGAAGGGCCTCTGGAGAATGTGAGATTAAGTGTCCCTGTGGCTCAGCTGCACAAGGAGAAGAAAATGATACGCTATTAAAACGAAGGCACGGAACAAGGCGGTCCAAGGTGAACAAAGCAGAGAGGAGCTTCCCATCAGCCCTTGAGCACACAGTCCCCAAAGAATGACATGTTTTTACCAGAATATTCTTCAGTCAGTGATGAAGCCAGTCACAGATTCCTCAGCAACCGGGATGCGTGTATACTTAAGTCACAAAGACTATGTAAGCATGCGGGTGGGGGAGACAGGAGAAAAAAAATGACAAACTACCTATGGAACCAAATTCTTAAGAGAAAGCAGCTCAGGATGGGCCCAAGGTGAAATTTATTGAAGTCCATGGGCGAGTTGACTTAAAAGCAACCCCAGAAAAATGGCACAATACAAGGCAATAGCCGCCCTTAGTAAGAACTGTCACTCGATCCTTAATTCCAAACCTGCTGCTGTTTTTCCTTCCTTTCTTTCTTTTTTCTTCCCTTCTCCCTGAGTCTCATCTGTCCATTCTTCCCTGCTTTCTTCCTTCCATCCATTCATTTAGCTGTACTTTCTATTAATCAGGTACTCCAGACCAGGGTTCTGCAGTCAAACTGCCTAATGCAAATCCTGGACGTACCACTTACTAGCTGTGTGGCCTTGCCTCATAAGGCCTGTATCTAAGTATTCCCATCTATAACATTTTTTATCTCACAAAGTTGTTAAGAGGATCAAATCTGCTAAGCATGTACTTATTAAGCTGCTTAGTACACAATCAGTACTCAACATATACCTACAGTAGTATTAGGCTTATATTTTACTTTTGTTATCATTTTTTTCTAATTTGCCCACTAAGTAGAGATCACATTCAGGGATTGGTTCCCACACTAGCAGGAAGGATATTTAAGAAGCTCCCTGAATGGGGTACAGTTAAATTTTCTCTGTTGCTCCAGCTTATTTCTATTGCTTTGACTAGTGGGTCTCAAATTTGAACAGGCACCAGGGGCTTGGTGAAACACAGATCACTAGGCCCCCAAATTAGCATTTCTAACAAGTTCTGAAGTGATGCCAGTGTTGCTGCTCCAGGGCCATACTGAGAACCACCGGCTTAGACTATCCATCTGGTTTCTGAACCCTTCTCCTGCCAAATGTGCTAATGTGGGCACCAAGGTCACTAACGGTTTGGCTTTTCCCTATTGCATTATGGGAGACTTATTACTGAATGCTCCCCTGGCTTCTTGCACTCTGGCCACCTTCTGTACCTTGTCCTTAAGGGTATGCTTGTTGTTGCCTACTAACAACATAGAGCTGGCTATGAACTTACGTTAGGAGAACCTCCCGGGACCAGGCCCAACCCATGCCTCCGTATCCTCACCTTGCTCTGCTGGTTTAGTGTTCAGGGCTACTTCTATAGGCTCTGTTACAACCCAGTCCTAGAAATGCCACTCTTGATCATTGGTAACCCCTTGAAATTCACTGTGGTTCACTGTGACACTGATGACAGCAAATAGCTCACTGAATACGTGATTTCCCGCAGGGGATAGATCTCAACCTAGCCTGATATCTTGACATAAATTATTAAGTAACAGACTGATCACAAGATCCTGACAACCCATTTAACTTTTGAGAAAAATCATGATAAAGCCAGCTCAAAACCTCACTGTTGTGAAAGAATACCATTGCCATAGTCTTCCGATGGAATGTCATCCTGATAAAAATGCTATGAACAGCACAGATGGAGATAATTTGACAAAACCTGTTCTTAGTTATTTTGTATTGAGCCTTGGTGATCACAGCTTACTTTTCTAAGTGCTAACGAAAATTCCAATTAATAAAGCACTACAAAATGTTGCTAGATTTTTTGCTAGAGTTTCAAGCAGTTTAGCTGCTCGAGTTGAAAGAGTTCAAAAAATACACATTACCTTCCATATCAAAAATGTTTTCATTGGATAAATTTTGAAATGCTCATTAGCATATTAAAGTATCTGAAAGGACCAGATGAAAGAGATTTGGTTAAGTTTGTTCAATTAGCAATCTAGAAACTTACTTATGGAGCCTCTAGTTCTTTATTCATATAAAATCCACTTATGTTTTTTTCTAATACATACATTTATTTATAAAAAAAATATTTATTACCAGGTGCTATTCTAGGAACCAGAGATACAGTGATGAACAAGACAAAGTCCCTGCCCCTGTAGAGTTACAATCCAGTGGGCAATGCAGACAATAAGCAAGTAAATAAATAAATAATTATACAATTTAATTTTAGGTGGCGATAAGTGTCATGGAGAAAAATATCACGGGCAGAGCTAAAAATTCAGAATTGGAACAATTTACCATTTGTAATTTAAGAAGAAAGGCAATAGGATTCAGCCTAAGGACACAGAAGGTAGGAGGTTAAAAAAGAGAGGGTAAGTTCAAAGGCTAAGAAAGAATTTCAAGAAGGAGGGTATAATCCACAGTGTCAACGCCATTGAAAGCTCGAGTTGGTTTCACTGAAATTTGGGGGTATAAAAACTTAACTGAAAAGGACATGAATATATGCTCAACATCGTTAATCATTAATAAAATGCAAATCAAAACCATACTGAGATAGCATTTCGCACTCACTGGATGGAAAACAAAAAAAAAAAAAACACAAAACAATAACAGTGTTGGTGAGGAAATGGAGAATTAGAACACTCATACATTACTGGTGGAGATATAAAACGGTGCAGCTGCTTTGGAAAATGGTTTGGCAGTTCCTCCAAAAGTTAAACGTAATTCCACCCTAAGCATGTATCCAAGAGATATAAAATATATGTCCACACCAAAAATTGTACATGAATATGTATAGCAGTATTACTCATAGCAGCCAAAGGAAACAATCCAATTGTCCATCAAGAATGAACAGAAAAATAAAATGTTGCATGGCCAATGGAACACGATTTGGCCATAAAAAGGAACAAAGTACTGCTAACTAAAAGAATTATGCTATGTGAATTATACTAAGTGAGAAAAGCCAGACACAAAAGGCCAAATATCGTAAGATTCCATGTATTTGAAATGTCCAGAATAGGCAAGTTCATGGAGACAGGAAGGAAATTAACAGGAGTGACCGCTAATGGGCACAAGATTTCTTTTGGAGATGATGAATATATTCTAGAATCAAAGAGTTGTGATAATTATACAAGTTTGTGAATATACTAAAAAAACATGGAATTGTACATTTAAGAAGAGCAAATTTATGGTACGTGAATTATATATCAATAGAACTGTTAAAAACAAACAAACAAATGAATTTAACTGAGAGTGGAAGATGAAGAAAGGGAGGTAAATTAGCTCAGACAACTTTTCCAAGGAGTTTTGCAAAGAAATCATGGGGAGTAGCTCCAAATGAGGGAGAAAAGCACTTTGGGAAATGCTGGTTTAAGGTTCCTGAACATATTAGTTTCTAAAATTATCATCATTAGTAGTGGTAATTGTTGTTAACATTTATTGAAAGCTCACAACATGCTAATCCTTGGGCTGATTTAATTTACTTCCTTATTTCAATTAATCTTTACCATACTCCTAAGAGGTAGTTAATAAATGCATCACCATTTCCAGGTGACAATACAGACCAAAGAGGTTAAGTAACTGCCCAAATTCCCGCAGGGAGTGATCAAGAGCTGAAATCTAAACCCAAGTCTGTCATAGATACCGGGTGTCTGATCTTCACCACCAAATGACACCATCTCCCAAGAGGCCGCCTGCTTCTCCACGGTCTACATATAAAGACACCTCCTCTCTGTGGCCTCTTGATGCCTTTCCCAAGCTTCATGGTTTCTCAGTAATGTCTTTGGTCACATCTGCAAGTCCCTTCAGGATCAAAGGATGGGGTTTGCCCTTGCCAGGAGGTCTGAATTCACTTAGAGCAAGCGTGTTATCACCTGAGTTCCATTTCCTAATTGAAAGC